CAAACAAATTATTCATATGTAAATGCACACTTAAGTACAGCCTGACACACATCCATTCACAATGCTCAAGTTTGGCATTCTTTAAAAATACAAAAAAAGAACATAGGTAGAAATGTTTTATCTCCTTGTTTGGTATTTACTATGGAAAACTATAATTGTACTATAATACCACACACACGCACACACACACGCATACAAAAAAAAAAAAAAACGGATCTTACCGGCATTCCCACTGTTATGGACCATGGAGCAGTTGTGCAGACAGAGGTTAATAACCGGAAAACATTCCAGTATTAAAGCACTGACTTAGTGGAAGTAGAATCCATTTAAAAATTCTCCAGTGAAAAATTAAGTGGAGCTGTTGTCCTCTCATCAGTCATCCTCCTGAGAAGCACATGAAGCACAAAGCCTCTCGCACACTCCAGCTCTCTGTCCCTGTGATTCAACCTCTCCCTCCTCCCTCCTCCCTCCTCCGCCTCTCTCTCCGTTATTTGGAGCGCTCAACCTCTAGCCCCCACTTCACTGCTTCCACCTCCCCTCTCCTCCCCTCACCCTCTGCATGGCTTGCAGTCCTTATCACATGCACGCGCTCTTCCCCGAGAGCTTCAAGGTAAAGTCTACAGCAGCGTTTTACTCTCCTTTTGTCATTCTTTCCTTCTGATGTGCCTCCCCCACCACCTCTCATCGGCTACGTTCAGACTGCAGGCATAAGTGGCCCAAATCAGATTTTTTTATGTGTGACTCAGACTTTTTTTTCATAACCGTATGAACAGCACAAATCACATAGAATCGGATCTTTTCATTTATGATTTGGGCCACTTTCATATGTGGTCCTGAATCAGATACAGGTCTGATGTTTTTGCAGCATGACCTCAGTGTGGACAGTCGTATCTGAATTTATGTGACTTTCAAGTGTCTTGTTGTGAGTCTTCTAGAGATGATGTAGCAGATGTAGTTGTATCTCCACAAAAAAGCCATAATTAATATCTGTCTCAATGCTCATGAATTTACTGGCTTTCACTGCACATCAAGTTATAAATGAAACCACAAACACTGACTTGAGGGCACTGCCATGTTTGCTTCTGTGAGACAGTGTGCTGCATGTGACCTTGTATGACATGCTATTGTTCTTTTTTACATGTGGGTTAGTTCAGTACCATGAACTGCTCTCACTGAAATCTGGCTGTTATTTTAAAAATGTAGTCAATATCATAACAGATCTGTTCTCATCTGAGCAATGAATATGAACTGAGCAGTGTTCTCCCCCCTGTTCCTTACCATTTCAAACATCTCCAATGCTTTGTATCTTACAGCTTCCATCACATTTAAACTCTTGCTTTCAGTCCACACTTCATTATATTAATTTAACATTTAACTTAGTAGTAGTAAAAAAAAAAAGACGGAATGAATGAGAGACAAAGATAGAAATAGAGTCAGAGAAAGATACTACATGGTACTAATAAGAGGTGACTGTATTACAGTATGAGAGGGGGTCATATCCATCCATCCTCTCTTGGGCATTTGTCCAGCTTTGCCCCTGATGGCCTTGGCCCGTGTGCATTTCTCTGATGATGTCTGGCACACATCTCATCCTCTTTGTTGTCCGAAGGGAGCAGAGACTACAGCACTCAAGTGCCCTGACCTCAGACATGATTGGAAACACTGGACAACACATCGCTGGACACATCACTGATTTGCCCTTGCTTTGACACTACCCCTGTATTCAAAAATCTCCCTGAGACAGGCTTGAGTTGTTTAACAGTAAAGACACTGAAAATGAAATGAAAATTGAAGCTCACATGTGGCGTATAAATGCTGAAGAAATGTTGATGAGGCCAGAGCGAAGGAATAAACAGCGATGTGTATGCAGAGCAGCATTATGTAACTTAATCCCGAAGGGGTTTTGTAAACCTGCCAAAGAGATAGGACATATTTCATGTTATAGTAAGGGTCACATTGTATGTCTAATTCTGCTTTCCAATAAGATTTGACCTGACTTCTCGTTGACTATACATGGGGTCCAGTAGCCTGAGTGACTGGCCTTGTAATGCTACAGAACATAACATAAAAATACTGCATTATAGCCTGCTGCCAAATAGTATGGCATAAGCTGCGATAGAGGTCATGCTCTGAATACAACAGAAAACAAGCAGCATACACCTGTATGGATTCTCTCTGGGGTGCCAGGTACAGTTTCATCTATCCTGTAATTTCTGTAAAGCTAAATTGTTTTATTTAATTGCTACTTGTATGGGGATTCCTGGTGCCTAGGGGTCTTAGATGCCAACCATGTAATCACAATGACGTCAAGTCTGGACAATTTCTGGTCTCATCTCTTTTGTCTATTGTCAAATATAGATTCTCTATTCTTAGGGAAACAAGACTGGGAGTCTACAGCCATGCTAACTGCTGTAGGCACAGTAGTGCAGCTAACTAAATGGTCATCACGCTACTGTTGAATGCTCACAATAACAGTGCTGACATGCTAATGTTAATGGTATAATGTTTAGCCTACCCTGTTCACCATCTTAGTTCAATGTGTTCAAGTTTTTCAGATATTTAGTTATAAACCATTGGACAATTTTTGACCAGATGCTGGCCGTGGTTAAGTTACAGATTGCAACTAACTGAATAGCACTTGTATCTGTATGTGACCTGTGAATGACAACGGGCTGTGAAGTGTGTAGGAGAAACTATGACCTACAGCCATATTCCATTTCTGCCAATAGATCCTCCTAAATGTAATACACTGGAACTTTAAATGCTACATTTCAAATGTTTAACCAATTTTTTGTCATCACACAATAACACTAAGATGGCATTGTAGTTGCATTGAACTTACACTTTCTTTAGTGAGAAACATGGACTTGTGCTTCACTGAAGATCTTTCTCTGTGGCAGGGAGGCTACTGCAGTGATCAAACTCTTTTCCAGGCACAGTCTTCTTCTGTCAGGTTTTACAGTTAAGAATGTTCAATATAAAAAAGAATCTCACATACCCCCTGCAGTACTCCAAAGTAGGGTGGATTTGAGAAACACTGATAGATGTTTAGAGATTTGAATTAGTGGACCAAAGTCACAGGAATTCATCCTCTGGGAAACATGAATGTGTGTTTAAGTTTTTGTTGCAATCCGTATAGTTGTTCATATTTTAGTCTGGACAATGTAGTGGACCAACCAACTGGCAGACATTTCCTTCCACAGTCATGCAGCCAGCATAGCTTAAAAACAGCTGCAACAAACTATTAAAAAATATATCTATAAATAGTTCTTACTATGGTCTAAAAATAAGTGTAGTCTAACAATGTCATTTTAAATAAAATGATGACTATTAGGTTAAAATGCTGATTTTCAGAGAAGAGGAGTGCTTCTTAAATGAACAGCTTCTGTGTCCAATCCAGTTAAGGGTGCACTTGCCTCGGGTCAGTGAATACTGTACAGCTTGAGTAACGCTGCCACCATGAAATTACTTGAAATCAGTGTTTGATTTTCATATCAAATAATATGCGTACACTGATTGCTTTTAATCAATCTGAAATCTTTCTAGTTAGGCTTGTTTCATGTGTTTCATGTGTTTCATGTCACGTGTACAATCACAGATTGCATGAAAGCGGAAGGGAAACCTTTTGTACACTTTCTTTGTCACTATTCATGTACATACTGTTACAGTTGCACACACCAGTAAACCAGTTAATTCTGACAGTGAAAAAGAAAATGCAAAAAAACTGCGATTGTAGTTTCTTATTACAAACACTATAACTTGTGCATTAGGATGTAAAAATATATTGTAAGACCGTTAAATCGGTGAGAGGAAAAATAAATAAATAAAAATACTCCAGAGGGCGCTAGCTACTTTTACATTTACAATCTAACATCGCTCAGTAGCTGTATCAAGGCACAAAGACATCAGTTTTACTTTTACAAAGAAAAAGAAATATGCGGAAATAATAAGGAATATTTTAGGAAATATTTTTAACACCCTACTTCAGAAATAAGGAACGGATTCTACAATTTGATAAATATAAATGAAAATATATATTGTATATTTTTGTATGAGAAATAAAGGACTAGTTTTCAGTCATAATTTGTCTTAAATCACATTCTCAAATAAAGAAAATCATGTTGTGAACCAGTATCGTGAATAGTATTCACATAGTGTATCATTATATCCCTACTGTGCATACTACTGTATTATGTGGTAACATTAACCTTAGAGTGTGACTTGACAACTGCAGCATTTTTAAACAATCCATTGCATTGTAATGTCAGATGCTAAATCATCAAAGCAAACCCTGAAATTAAGTTATAATTACAACCCTCTACAACCTCTTTGTGACCTCTTGCAAATATCCAAAGCAGTAATGCTGGACTTTCCTCCCTGCGGCATATCTGACCTACTGGTGCTAAAGTTAACTATTTACTGCCCTGTAAATAATGAGGCAATACGTGCCTTATTTTCTGTAATAAATAAGAAACATTGCAATGTGTTGCCATATCATTACATTCTTATCCACAAGAGAAAATCTTCTCAAGTCAGTCAGCCATGTTTACTTTTAGTCATCTATGATGCAAAACTATGATGCAAACAGTACAAACTGTTAGTGACTGTAAGGAATTATAAAACACTGACTTCTGAAATGGTTTCCTTCTTAAAAACCTCCATTCTGACTGACAACTGAGCTGAACAGTTTAAAAGTAGCTCAATCAATCAGAGCTCAACTCTTACATGAATTATATATAATTATATGAAACATGAACAGGAGGTTTTTCCCTTTTGTTGTGCTGTGTGATCTTTGACATTACTGTGTAATTTTACAGACTGAGCTGAATTTCCTGTAATACTTATACAAGAAACTGGGGTTGTCATGGATAAATATGCTTTTTCCTGAATCCAGACAAGTCTCCCAACTGATGGGAAGTGAGATTTCGCAATCGTTAATTTCAGATTCCAGGAATCAACGTTTTTGTGCAAGGCAGACATTTCCAGGGCAAAGGCTTTAACTCTCAGCAGGTATATATACCTCCCGGCTCCAAAATGCAAAAACACACTCGAGAGGAGAGAGTATAACTGCAGAAGATGAATATTACCAACAGAATGTGGTAAGTTATAATCCTAAATACATTATTGTCTTTGTAGTTTTTAAATCTATCTAAATACACCTGAGCATTAAGCTCTCTCTCTTAGTACTAAATGTTATATACTTGGGATCTTTGGCTGAGCTTTATTATTACTTAAAACGGAACGGTTACAATCTCTAAAACTAAGCATAATTTTACTATAAAAGGTCTGATCTTTTAAAAGACTAACTTAATGTTCCAATAATTATTCAGTAATGTTTTACGAGTTGTTGCAAATGATCAAATACTGAATTATGTAACTCTGTGATAAATAACTGATTTGTTGCATTCTTAATCCTTAAATGGGCCCAGTTTTATTGTCTCAATTGATCCAAAATAAATAAAGAAGAAGAAAACATTTATTTTTTGTTTATCATGTGACTCTGTTGTTGTTTTGAAGGTTTTCTTTGACTGTGCTCCTGCTGGCTGCATGGGCCTGTCTGGCAGATGTGCCTCACACTAAAGAGAGGATGAAACGCTCTGTGTCAGGTAACACACAGACACACAATAACATATACAAACATGCTGATAAACATGGAGTCTTAATTTAAAACCAGTTTCTAATTGTTACTTTAATATTCTATATTTCTAATAAATATACAATACAATAATATTTGTAGGGTAGTGTATTCGATTGGCAAGAAAGAAAGCAAGACAATCTTTGCTTTGAGTTAAATAATCATTTTGGCATGCTAACATGCTCACAATGCCAACATGCTGTTTATCTGGTTTAATGTTTCCCATGTTCACCATCCTTTTTTTGGCAAACGTTTGCTAATTACCTCTAATCACAAAGTACAGCTGAGGCTGATGGGAATGTCATTAACTTTGTAGGTATTTTGCTAAAATAACCTAAACAATTACAAAACCAGAGTTACAGGAATAAAAGAGAAAATAGAATCCAAAAAGTTAAACAAAACAATATAATTAAAAACAACTACAACACAATTCATCAGTTAAGAGAAAGCAATATGATAAATATAAGAGATTTAAAAGACAAATCTGAGTTTAGCTACATGAGATCGTCAGGCAGGAAGTTCCACAGCTTTAAACCAAGGATATGGACAAATTTAAAATTTGACCCGATGATGGCATTGTATCAAAAGTGAAGGGACCGCCAAAGTTATTACAAAACATCGTCTGGGGGACATGAATGTGTGTATCAAATGTAATGGCAATCTATCCAATAGTGGTTGAAATACAGTAATTAATGCTGGACCAAAGTGCCAACATACTGACAGCCCAATATTGCCATGACAAGGTGGCTACTATTTGGTCTAAACCCACATTTATAGCATATTCTGAAGTTAAACAGAAACTCTCAGAATCACGGTCACAGCCAGAATACTCTCCTTGTCCATAGATTTAATCAGCAGCCTTTAACTTCACATTCAAGTGGATCCAAGCAACCACAGGCTCCAGTTTTCTGAAGCTACAGTTTTACACAAATATTTCCTCGACAGCTGCTGTTCAGATAGATAGAAGAACTCCTGCATGAAATGACACGGCCAACCCTGCAGGATCTGAGAGCTCGGCTATTACTGCTCATTTCAGATATTGCTCTTCATTTAGCTGTAACGCAATAGTATCTGACAGGGAAATCGCCTGCTTCCTTGCTTCTCTTCAAACAGTCCTTTTTAAAAAATAACAATAAACCAAGTGATCAGACACCAGTGAGAGATGTAACTAAACTGGCTGGAGGCTTGTGGAAAAAAAATTTTGTTGATAAGAGAAGGGAACTCAATAACTTTTTACTTTCAGTAATAAAATATGAAACATTAAATGTAACAGAACTATTGAATCAATTTTCTATTAATGCAGTGTCTGTAGTGCTTTAAACTAATTAGTCATTCATTTATTTAATTATGCTTGTAAGCCATTGTGTACTGTATTGAATACATTAATTTAAAAAAGACACTGGAAACCATGAATGTAGAATTAAATCAGAATGAATGATCACAAATAGTTAATTTCTTCACTGTGCAGAATGGAGCCAGACATGTACTAACAGTTTTGTCATCACTCAAGATCACTTGAAGCAGTGTTCATTTTCTCTGTCACACAAAAGACACATGGATCACAGCACAGAGAGTGGATAGATTCCCTTCTTTTGCTTCATGATGAATCATTATGGGCCATTGTTTCTGGAGGAAGCCCATGGAGCATGAAAGCATCACTTTCAGACAACAAAGCTTCGTTTAAGATCGGTCTCTGGAAATTATAACAGTATGTTATGGGGGAAGAACAAAAATGCTGTCAACAGTGTTTAACACACAAAGCTTTATATGCTCCTTGAAATTAAGAGAAATTTCGGATAAAAACCAGAGGAAAACAGTCTAGTCACACACTATCTATCTATCATAGATACAGACACAATTACAGCAATCACAAATGAAATGTTAATCCAGCATATGAAACTTTAAAGTTTTTAGAACATAGCTTTATGCTTTTGTTAAATGCATACATGTGCTCTTTTTGGAGTTTAGAACAAGCTTTAGATTAATAATAGATGTCATCAAAGAGCAGACTGCAACCTGGAGAAAGTCTTGTTTGCTGTGGAGTCAGCAGTATAAAAGATCATAGCATAAAAACAGCGATGGAAAGAGTACTAATACACAAACTTTGGCAAGCTTTTGCATATAAACTGATAATAAATTTACTTACAATTTCTTCAATATACCACCTTCCTCACTATAATGTTGTTAGAATTGACCAGAAAGGGGACAAACTTGACAACAGCAATATAAGTAAAATTCTCTGCCAACAGCAGAATAAAACATCAACAAGGCAGATATTACAGATATGTATAGACAATATAAACTCGACAGCCCACAAATGCACACATTAAAACAACAAAACCAGGTATGACCGCAAACCGCAGCCCCTGACATTCATCCAGCAGCTGCTGATTTAACAGCTTTCTTTTCTTCCATTCTCACAGTTTATCAGGACTTTTTCATGTAACTTATGTCTGTGTTTATGTCTCAGCTTCCAAGGTAGCATCACTCCGTTCCAGGCGAATGATTGGGGGGACTCTGGCTCCTCACGTCCCCTGGCAGGCCATGGTTTACATTTCTGACAGTGTGCTGGACGGAGGCTATGCAGGTGGTGCTCTCATCTCAGACCGCTGGATTTTGACGGCTGGCAGGAACGTTTTTGTCAGGAAAAGTCGACAGGACATTCAGGGAAAATATCCCATCATTCCTAAAGTGTACCTGGGAATCACACACCGGTCAGAAGCTGATGTCTCCAAAGAGGTCGCTGTAGAGAAGGTGAGCAAAAAAAACATTTGATGGACCTCAGCGGCCGCTATTCAAATGCATGTTGTTTGTCCTTAGTGTGTGTGGATTTATTTTCAAGTTTCAAGTTCCATAGATACCCATAATGCAGTGCTGAATTACAGGTTGTAATATTTATTGCACAGACATGTAGATTTTCTTTTTTTCACTCATTATTTTGTTCTATGTTTTATTACATACAGGAGCATGTAATCATTTAAAGGATAAGGCTGGTGACACTCTATTTATTTTCCTACTAACAAGTATTGCCTGTGTTTCCAAAGCCTGATGCAGTTTATACCTCTGAGCCACAAATCTGCTGATTTAAAAAAATACATAAATGAGCCACTGTAGTTTATGCTGAGTTGATGCTACGTACCAGAAATACTCACTAGTGCACCAAATGTGTATTAATCCATGGCTGAAAATAGTTCCAATGTCTAGCTGTTGTAGGAAATTACTAAGCCTTTTTATGAATGAAAGTATGTATTCTAGACCAGTTTTTAAAGATTTGATTGTTGGTTTGGGACTTTTCATGGGATTTGTTGACAGTAACAAAGATATATAACATCACCAGATTTATCTAAAAACGTAGAAAGTTGGAGATGAATGATTTTTACTGGACAGTGACAAGACACAAAATATATATGTGACGCTGACATAGTTGTGAAAATAGATATATTTATATAGCTATCTGAGGTACAGTTAGTTACAATTAGTCTGTTTTTGTAATTTGTCAGTTAGTTGTCGGTACATTTTAATTGCTGTGGTACTGCATTACAGTTGAATGAAAATACCAAACATTCAGTTAGACTTCCTCTCTCTCCTTCTCCTCCTGCAGGTTGTTCTCCATCCAGGCTTTCAGAACCAGTCTGACTGGGACAACGACCTGGCTCTGATCCAGCTCAAGGAGCCTGTGGTTATGAGCGATAAAGTGACCCCCATTCCCCTGCCAGAGAGAGGCCAGGACCTGGCAGGCATTGTGCGAGGGTCAGGAGTCATCACCGGCTGGGGCTGGGGGGTCTACCTCACCCTTGCCACATCACTCAAACACCTCGTACTCCCCTTGGCCAGTCACTCTGACTGTAAGGCAGAATATGAACGTATCGCGCTCACACCATCTGTAGACGACAACATGTTCTGCACTGGAACCGCCAAGTTTGGGGAAAATGTTTGTTTTGGTGATGCAGGAGGCGCTCTGGCTGTCACAGATGCTGAAACTGGGGACATTTACGCTGCAGGGATCCTTTCCTATGACAAGTCCTGCAACAGGTACAACTATGGAGTCTATATGAAGATTTCCTCATATTTGCCCTGGATCCACAGAGTCATCAGAGGAGATACAGAGAATTCATCCGCTCTGCGCTCTGATGCGATGTCTAAGATGTACTCACGGCAGCCGTAAAGCTTCAGGCTCTGTTCTTAAGATTTTGTGTTTTCAATAATACACACAAATTGTCTTCTAAAGAAAAACATCACCAGTTGTTTCAGTATTTCCCAAAACAACATATGTTTATGACTTTTAAGTTTAAGACTTTTGCCTGTAGAGAGTAAGGAAGGAAATGTCACATTGTAATCTACCATTTACATTTTTTCTACAACTATTTCTGTCACTTTTAATACAAATGAGTACCACACTATGATTGCCTTCCAGGTAAGACTGTTACCACGCTGTTATGCCACTTACTGGGTCTCCCCTCTCTCTATGATGGCTGGTATGTGGCATAACGGCTATAAACACTCTTTTCGAGCATACAATGACATTTAATCCACAGGAGTAAGACTGAATGGGTAAACAAAATGTTGGATAGGAATGTATCAGGAGAGGAGTATCAGGACGCTGCTTACGGGGACATCTAACTCTGAATTAGGGGTTAATTTTGACTAAACCAGAGTTAATGATTGTTGGAACAGCGGATAGACAAACCAAGATAGTTTTGGTGAGTTTTGTTCCTGTCATATTGGACTGAAGTTTGTTTTACGATGATATGCGAGGTAAAATTACTGCATTTATCAATGGAGTCTGGTGGAGAGCAATACACAGCTGTTTCTGGTTAAACAAAAAAGGATCTTACTATTTCACAGATGTGTGGCGGACCCTTAGAATGACAACGTAACTTGATCGTGGACAATTGCGTGGAAGGATTACATTTGCAACCAGCAACTCACTTAATACTGTAACAATTTAAAAAACTTGTCACTCAGACACAAAAACATCAGAAAATAGGGTCCAGTTTAAAAGTAACCCTTTAACTTTGAAAAAAGAACTTGAGAGCTTCAAAGGTTGAAACGACATTTCATCATGTGCAGTCATCAGCGTGAAAGCAAAAGTTGACGATGGAATAAAAGTGAATGACACAACTCAGAATTTGTGGTTTTTGAGTGTTGCCTGCAGATGTTTTTTTTCCCCCACCAATAGCAGCAGGACTTCAAAGATATTTTTGTCTAGCAGATGTGTCCACTCTGTCAGAATTCATGAACCGTCTCAAAAACAAGTGCTTTCCCCCACTCCACAAAAGTGAGAGGCTGACAGCTGCCTGTCCAGCCAATACAATATGAAAGGGAAAGATAAGAGGGTAGGAAAAAATCAAAGTGCAAGGTGGACATGACTGGTTTTATTCCTCTGGGTCTTTTTAAGTGTAATGTGAGGACATACACGCTTGGGTTGAGGGGATGGGAATATCGAGACTGATAGCCTTCATTACTGTCATTTTAAATATGTATAATGAGTTATTTAATCTGCTAATTATAGCTATAAAGATTCAACACATAGCTTTCACAAAGAAAAACACTGAAACTAAGCAATAATTTATTGCAGGACATCAGACTAGTCTTGCATGTCTTTCTTTACTCCTCTGACTAGCTGCTGCAGACTTCCCATGATCATCACATGCTGAATAGTGACCCTCACATATGTTTTTTTTACTTTTTCCAGTAGTTCAAGAGTCTTGTACAATATATGACAAGTTTCATATCCACTGGATCTTACGTTTTGACACCTTGAACCTGGCTTGTGTACTCTGATTTGGGTCTCACAGGCAGACTATCCTGCATCTTTCACTAGACTTTGGCAAACCACGCCCCAAACCTGTGTGTTAAAGCATCTTATTGTAAGGAGTTTGCTCGGACACAAACCAGGAGGAACACCCGGGACACATCATCAGTCCATCAGTAGCCAGCGCATACGTCACAGTTACAGGTTACGTTACAGTCACCAATATCACACTGGCAGCAGAAAGAGAGATTTAAAGACAAATGATCTCTGTAGCAGTTGAGTGAAATACATAGTTTTCAATGACATTTTTTGGCATTGTTTTTAAGGTAAAAACCAAAATGGAGCTGTTGAAGGGTGAGAAGTGTGAGAAGTACTTTTTAGCAGGTCTACAGCAGGGTGCAGGAGGTTCTCCTCTATGGCTTCTAAAATATTAATATCCCTGTCAAGGGCCATTAGTCTCTACGAGTCTCAGAGTGTACTCTCTCTGGCTCCATCACTCCTGCAGAGCACTGACTGAGGTCAAAACCCCAACAGTCTCTTAATGCACTTTAAACCAGAATTAACATGGATAATGAATATTGTGTTAGCATGTTGTATGTGATCACAGATACATTTATATTTATGTAAGGCTATTTGTGTTTGTTCCTCAACCCCAAAATAGTTTCAGTTACTAAGTGTGACAAGAAGGAAAATATAACCAAGTTTTCTTTGTGGTGACCAAACTCTTAAGGTGGCCATAAATTTGCTGTAACTTATAACTTGTTGAGTCAGTACTATTAATTATAAGAGTATGGGCCTCAGTGATTTATTGCATTAAATCAATTACATGTCGAGTAATAAATATATATCAGCAAATCTAAGTATGATACATCATTTCTAATGACTGAATGTCTTATTCAGAGGTGATTCATTTCCTCAGCAAAGATTTTTTTTATTTTTGGATCTAGTTGGCGATGACGTTTAATCTTGTTGTATCGCTCAGCAACCTGTCCGTCTGGGAATTTGTTTAGAATATTAATTATGGAGATAATTTAGTAAAAATGCCCAGTTGCTGAAAACTTTTGCAGTTCTTTTGAAACACATTTGTCATCACTTAAAAAACTGCTGCACACTGTAACTGTGTATGTGTGTGTGGTATCTGATGGTCTATACATTAAAATTACATTTTATTATAAGATTCAAATGATATTTTGTTAACATATATAGAGGTTCAGTGATGTTCTCACTATGGAATGTTTGGTTAGGGGCCTCTTAATGGCCTTTGACCTTTACCCTGAAAACCCCCATCTACTCTCCTTACCCTACATATCTAGATTTAAACCAGATGTTTCTTTCTATCTTTTGGAGTAAACAAACTGACTATATAAACGTATTCCGATGCAAATAGACGGAAGTTGTTCCTTTGGCGGGTTACCCTCCAAGCCTCCCGGCTTTGAAAATGATGCTGTACTTTTTTTGTATAAACCTTTATATAAAATCAAGACGTGTCAGCCGGAATTTCCTCTTCAACACATCTTCACATCATCGCTACTCAATATACAACATGTGTAATTTACAAGTGCAGTTTGATTGTAACACTGTTTTTGAAAAATACCATCAGTTTATAATAGTGTATCGTGGTAACCATTATTAGATATACAAAGATAACACAGAGCTATTCTACGTTAAGATCCATTAAATGTGACGCTCTCTGTTCATTCATCCCGACACGTACAGTTATTGTTGATTGTGTCTCACATTAAACAGAAACTCATCGTTGAGGCGAATGTACTGCTGATAGCTGCCATCTGTAGATTATGTCATCAAACACAAGAATGGCGCTTTGAGGTAGAAATTATACAAATCAATAGTATTTTCTAAACCAGTCTGCTGATGGAAGCATGCTGTGTACTCAGCTGCCACATTATGTACTCTGTCCTCATGTGTAACTGGGAAACTGAATCTTTCTGAGCTTCGATTGCCTTTATATTTACTGTACTTGCCACACACACACACACACACACACACACCAAGCTTTTGACTAGGCAGTAATACAACAGATATGGTGAACTGTATCACCCAAAGAACCTTTTTCCACTGCTTGCAAAAACAGGCTTTACTGTGTCTCTTTTATTAGTCATAGATAAGCTCTATATACACGTTTGCTTGGTCATGAATGATACTTCCCTTCAAATATTAGACAGATATGATCAGGAAATGGACAGAAGAATCAAGTGTCAAAACAGTCTGTGCCGCTGTTATCTTTCTCTCCTCATTGTTATTGTTTATTTACAATCCTACATTATTTTTTTAGCAGGAACCTTAAGCTGAAATGGCTCTCACATTCTTCTTATACACCGTCCTCATGAGAGTGTCATGTTCAGGCTCAGCACTGTCAGTTGATGCGTTTACCATTGCACTATTGTCCACTGTCTACAGATGTTATCCTGAAAATAAGAATGAGCTGTTTCTACAGACGGAGACAGGTTGTCTTCCATATACGCCGCCATGTTGAACTGGCATGTTTCTATAGTAATCCAGAAAGGACAAACTAAACACTGGCCTTTAGTGTCTTTGGCAGGTTTTGTGACTGAGCTGTATTCAAATGATTGCAATCTGCAACTTCATCGGTAGATGCCACTTGCTACACACTGGTCCTTTAAATGTTAAAGCACCAATAATACTGTTTTATAATAATACATAATTCTAAAAGGGGGCATTCTGAGTAATGAATACTTTTGAGACTATTTTCTACTCTAAGATTTTGATTGCAGGACTTTTACTAATAACAGTGTTTTACATTGTGGTATACATTAATTAAGTAAAGGATGTAAAAACTCCTTTCAGCACTGCCTTCTTGGTAACCATTTTCTGTGGCGGCAGGATTTGATTTTGCCCTAGCTGATTATAGTGACAGCCTGTGTTTTGAATGTCTATTTTTCAGGCAAATACAATTTGCTGTTTAAATAAGCATTAATGAGGTGTCATAATAGTTCCCATGAAATCCATCTCAGTGAGGATGCAGCTTGGTCAACATCTCCAAAATGGATGTGCTGTATTGCTGTGGCAACATGAAATGTCCTGTGTGAACGAGTACAAATGATTTTCACAAAGGTTTTCCGTGTCCCTGTACAAAACAAAACCATGAGATGTGAACCAAAACAGATCAGGCTGTTTGAACATTTTCACACAAATGATTGAGGCTAAAGATCTTCTTTTTCTCCTCCCACGTCACATCTGGTTTCCTGCAGTGTTCTTTAAATGTTGAACAGCATGTTTTTCTTCTTCTTCTTCTCTTCATCTTATGTGTGTGTTTGTATGATGCTGATATAAACCAACTCACTTTGTGTTCTCTGCAGCTGTTAGGTGCCCTCTCAGGTTCTGACACAGTGGGGAAGGATGTTGAGCTGATCAGGATAAAATGTCAAGCAAATACCACGACTGTCACACCTTCTCCTGTCTGAGGCACAACAGCCTCAATGACCCCCTTAAGATCCGGTGGTCTCATTACCAGTCTCTTATGTGGGAGGATAAGACAATTGCTCCTGCTGGTCAGAGTTATCTGATTTAAGTTTTGATACTTTTTGCTGTTGTAATAAAATACTGGGAGGAATCAAACATCATCCCACAAAAACACAACTAAAAACACTCAACTTACTTAACACATTGTCAGGGGTATTCTTAATACAATCCAAACCAATGGCAGTAGTTTCATAAAATGCCAGCAACTTTTCAATTATAAATAAGGGAATAAATATATCCAAATCAATTTAACTAGATAAAAAAAATCTATAATTCATACAGTTTAAGAAGCTGCATAAGCAGTGTGTTTAGTCACCTTAAAAATAAAATGATAGGTGCTGTTTCCTGATGTAGAGGTTCTGCTCTGTGATTTATTTATCTATTTTCTTTTTGAAGAAGATGTTTGCAGGATGAGAAACTCCTCCATTTAATTTCTGTGCTGTCATGGCTGTTAGGATGTTATTAATGGATGTAATTGTGAGAAGTTTAGAGTGCACACAACCCTCTCCAACAGTACCTTCTCATGGATTGTTCTGTTTCTATACCACAGCAGCAGAGAAAAGGTCAGCACACTTTCAATAGCAGCTTTGTACAAATGCACCCTTCTTCCTTCTCCGAGGATGACAAGAGGATTGATGATGCAGCTTTTACAGAGCTTCCTTTTCTCAGATTAAGCCACACGCTTGTAAGTCAGACATATGGCAGGTTTGTCCCTAAAATAAAAGATTTAAGGTCAACAAAATCTAAGGATGCTTGTGCCCTTTAAATTGTTGTCTCAATACTGACTCAACACTTTATTTTTCTCTTATAATTATATTTCGAATGGGTCATTCTCTTTGGGCAGTATTTTGAAAT